AGTACTCTAGACTGGTCTTGGTCTCGAGACCGGTCTTAAGACCACTTTCTGATGGTCTTGGTCTCGTCTCGGACTCGACCACATTTGTACTCTGTGTTGTCTCGGTCTGGCATTGAGGACTTGGGATTTTATTTCAAGACCAGTCAAGACCATAACTTTGGGAAAATCAATAAATTACTTTTGCATTGTCTCATTTATTTGTTCAATTCAATTAAATTTTATTTATATAGCGCCAAATCACAACAACAGTTATCTCACTGTGCTTTTCATAAAAGAGCAGGTCTAGACCATACTCTGTGATGATATTTACAGAAGCCCAACAGTTCCCACCAAGAGCAAGCACTAGGCGACAGAGGCAAGGAAAAACTTCCTTTTAAGAGGCAGAAACCTCGAGCAGAACCATGGCTCAGGGTGGGCAGCCATCTGCCTCGACCGGTTGGGGTGAGAAAGAGAGAGAGAGAGAGAGAGAGAGAGGAGGCAGCCTACACAATATACACACAGAGGTACAGACAGTAAAGGTGATGTTGCTATAGACTAAATGAAAAATGGTACAGATATTTATAGTAGTGTTAATGGTAACAGTCGTAATGTTAATGATTATAATAACAATAGGACTAGTAACAATAGTCGTTGCAGCAGAGGGTGTCGCACAGGAACACGGGGGCAGCAGGTGACCCGCAGCCACAGATCCAGACTCCACAGCTCCAGAGCCAGAAAACCTGCAGGAAGTGATAGGAGGAGAGAGGAGAGGGACGAGAAAACACAAGACTACCAGAAAGGGGAGAAGTTGTGTTAGTAACATGCAATAATGGGATGAGGTTGCATACAGAGGGAGAGAAAGTAGAGGAGAGAGGAGCTCAGTGCATCATAGGAAATCCCCCGGCAGTCTAGGCCTATAGCAGCATAACTAAGGGATGGTTCAGGACTCACCTGAGCCAGCCCTAACTATAAGCTTTATCAAAGAGGAAAGTCTTAAGCCTACTCTTAAATGTGGAGATGGTGTCTGCCTCCTGAACCTTGTTAACATCCTAACTTTAATTGGGCGTAAAACGTATTGCTTCAAATGCAACCAATAACCCTAATAACCCTAAAAATGTGTTACAGTTAACGACTGTCATTCCTAACACGATGGTAAGCATGGAAAAGGAGTGTTGAATAAAGATGCTTACGTTGATTTCAGCTCTTAGTGTTTGTATGTTGGTGTTCTAATGGGAATGTGGATCTTTCAGATCAGTTTGAGAAGTACCTATGATGTTGTTCCACATTTTATTGTGTGTCATGTAATGTGGAGAAATGGTCTTGGTCTCACTCTCCCTCGGTCTTGGTCTTGATTTGGTCTCGGTTGGAGCGGGCTTTACTACAACACTACCTCTGGCTGGATGAAGTCTGACGCTCCGCAAGATCCATGATGAAATATATAGATTTATAGTCAATAAAGCATGCTCTCAATATTTTAGAGACCCCCAAAATATCACAAATGATGCTTTTAGGGGAGCTGATGTCTTATTAAGAGGAGCTAAGCTCCCCTTGGATCACCCATAGTTCGCAACCTGGGCAGGAGTCTCACCACAGTCGCTCTCACGCATCAGTGGCATGGAATGTGTTGGGCAGTAATACTGCAGCATTACTTTTCCCAGTAAAGAGTTATAGGCTACGTCTAATGTTTATTTTGACTGCTGTATGAATGGTTGCTTTTTAAGTCGTCCTTATGTTAAAGTTTTTGGCAAGTTATAAAAAAATTCTTGTGAATGGTTGTGAGAGGGTTTATAGGGCCTTTTCAGACAGCCTGGATCCGCGGGGTCGATCTGCACTCCTCTTCAACAGACAGGCAAACAAGCGCTCCGCTAGTTAACCATGGCAACGGCTTCTGTGTAATTGCCGCGATCACGTGAAACTGTCGCGGTCATTCTCGTCTCACGCACACGCTCGCCGCCAGAGCTGAAATGTCAGACTTTTTCCTAGTGTAGAGGTGGTGCTGGCGCAGTGGATAAAACACATGCCTTTGGTGTGAGAGACCTCGGTTCAATTCCCCATTGAACCCCACTGGTTGGGGCGTGTGACCTTAGACATATATAGCAATTGTAAGTTGCTTTGGTTTATTGAATAATATAACTCTTAGTTAGGCCACCAGTTCTTAAACAGGCGACAACCTTTGCTGCTGTCTCTAACAGTAATCTATTAACTTCTACTGAACTAATTTGAAAGTTAGTAGTTATATTATTGTTATACACTCAATTATTTCATGTTGCACATTTAGCTGTTGAAGTTCAGTAAAAATGAATACAAAATAATTATTATAGAGAGGTTGCGATGGTGCAGTGGATTAGACACTTGTCTTTGATTCCCACTGCAACACATCCACCAAATAAGTTATTGTCATGGGTCCAGCTTTACCATCCATGTTATAATAGAGCCGCCGCCAGTTTTATCGGGGTGTGGGGAGGTCTCAGTATATTTTCCTGCTTCTTTGCCAATCACATGCCTGCTGTAATGTGATAAAAGTTAACAGTTATGCGTTACATGACAATTGTAACTGCGTTACAGACAAAAGTAATCTGATTACAGTAATGCGTAACGCATTACCCCCAACACTGGTCATGCGATTGTTGTATTAAAGCTGCATTATATGTTTTTTTGGCAGCAGAAACAAGCTGTTAATACAACTGTTTGCTGCGGAGTAGCTTGTGTATGGCAGCTTCTTCTCTGAAAACCCAAAACAATGACCTGGAGTGCACCTCTGTTGAGCTGAGGGGAACTGCAGAGTCGGGTGATAATTCTCTGTGGGTTCATCACTGTGCTTGATACCTTTCACATTACCTTGAGTCATTTGATCCATTATTAATCTGAAATCTTATCCTATCCTTGAAGAGTCTTAAGAGGCTTTAGGAGAAGAGACGGAGACAACAATTGACTCATTTACCTGGAGACAGAGTTGAATCTTAAAAGAGGAGGACAGTGAGAGATGTCAGGAGTAGCAGACATAATGTCTTTCCATCAACCTTTTAATGTACATCATTAGCTTTCACTTTGCTGGAAATTTGGACCTCACTTGGCTGTGGAAAAGTTTGTGTATCATAAAAAACTGAATATGAAAGTGCAATGGAAACAGAATTGATAAATAAATCATGACATAAATGAAGCATGTGACTTAAACGTCACTCAAGCTTCTGGTGAAGAGCTGAAAACATCAGTGTGAAGCAATGAGGCAACAGTAACCTTTTTTCCCGTCTGCAGCTGGCCTCATCAACAAGACCTGGGCTGCCCACTCATCCTCTCCCTCAGACACTACATGTTACATTATTGTAAAGTCTCCACACTTGACTCAATGTGTTACAATGACACATATTTGTTGGATTATTATCTCTGGACATTGCACATATTCTTTATACTCCATAGTGTGAACTTTAGTACATTCTGCTCAAACAGTAAATTGCACATATTTTGTATGGTAGTATTTCGTAGTATTTGCTTTGACTGCAGCTCTTTAGTGACATCACCTCAACGTGTCTTCTTCTGTGATGGTTCATTGGCAGCAACTGGAGAATTACAGGCAAGGCAAGGCAAAATTAGCAAGTATATGCAGGTTTTTGTAATTGTGGATAAATCTGCTAAAATTGGCCGGTAGACAAGTTTCCTATTCTGTTTTATTTGTGATGAAAAGGGGGAGCGCAGGGTTAGTAACAGCAGAAAGCAGCATGGAGGCCAGTAATAATTTTACAATCGTTGCTGTGTGCAGGCCATACACGAAAATACATAGACGTAGCCACTCTGACATCACCCACTGGAGTGTGGACCACTGTTTTGAAACCTCGAATTTGGCATGTTGGCCGTCGCCATCTTGTTTTTTGCAACCAGATGTGACCATATTTGGATGAGAGGGTGGCGCTAGCTAGCTTGATTAGCAAGGTGCATCTGTAATTCAAGTTAAATGTGATATTAGCTGGAATGCTAATTTTGGATAGCAACAAACAGGCTTTTAACAAAATATACTTACCAGAAAAATTAACAGCTGACTTCTAATAAGCTTTTTCAGCAGCGCTGGTTAAATATACACAGAGCGGAGGATGCAAGTTGCCTGTATCCTGATTGACAGGTCATGACTTGTCGTCGCCTCACCCTAAAGCTTCCCCTGCTCTCTGGTCTATTTTCCTCTACATGTGACCATAATTTACTAAATGAACATCAGGCTGTGTTGAAAAAGACTTGAAACTAGCGACTGAGACCATAAACTCATTAGGAAAGTGTTAACTGAGGTAATAAATCAGCTGAGAAGAAGCCTTGTTTTTCATGTGACCTCTATACAGTCACACTTGTCTTTGCAACCAGTACCGCGCCTTTCGCCCGATGTCAGCTGGGATTGGCTCAAGTGTACGCAGGATAAGCAATTGATGATGGATGGAGTCACCCTGTTGGCCGTTAGAGAGATTGCAGGTTTAAGACACTTCAACATCGGAGGTCCAGTGAAAATGTAAAATAATAAGTTGTAGCCACAGTGTCTTGTTAACAGCCAGCACCATGCTGAGATGGTGTTTGTGTGCTGTGAAAGACGTCACAATGCTGATATAAAGTCACACAGCTGACGGACTGTTAGCTTAGCGTGCTAATACTACATAAACATATGGATGAGACATTTATAGACATCCACAGATAGAGACATGACTGTTCTCTCACTATCTCCATCAGCCAATGAACTCATATCCACACAATAGGAAAGATGGAAACTTCCAGTAAATATGCATCTTCTTTCTTAAATTTGCAGTAAATTGCATGGAAACCTGACTAGAAAGAGTGCGAGAGAGGCAGCATTTGAATGAGAGGCAGAGAGAGAGAGAGAGAGGCAGAGAGAGAAAGCGAGTGTGCAGTTGACTTAAGGAGTGGGAAAAACCAGAGAGAACAGGACTTACAGATTCAGCAAAAGAGAGAAAGGGATGCAAAAAAAATGGGAGAGAGAATGAGATACACTCAAGATGGAGAAACAGCCAATACAGTACGAGGGAGAGAGACCCTGGGTAGAGCGAGAGAGCACAGGAGATCACAGCAAGAGACCTGCAGAGAGAGAGAGAGAGAGAGACTGAATGTGAGAAGCAGCGTGAGGAGAGTGAAAGCAGAAAATCATTCAGCTCCTGATCGTCACTGAAGACGATTCAACAACTTACAGACACTCTCTGGAAACCTGAAATCCACATGAGACCTCTTCTGCCTGCTGTTGGTTTACAGAAGAACTGGACACATCCTTCTTTTATTTCTTTTCTTTTAGGAAAGTGGCATAAGAGAGGTGGAAATATCCCACGAGGGAGAGATGAAGGCTTTAAATAAAATCTATGAAGCTGAAGGAATACTGAACCAGGTCTGCGTTTGTTTGCGGAGGATTTGGAGAGGTACTGACATTTTCCACTGAGGGATTATACTTCAAGGACGAGGAGAGATTTAAGTAATATTTATGGTCCCTGAAGGGCTGACATTGTTTTTGGAGAACACAGAGGAATGTTTTTACTCTGAGTCAGGACTTTCTTAAAGCCAAACTGATGTGAGTGTGTGTGAGGGGAAAGTTAGTAAGGTGTCTTTGGGTAACGCACACGTCAAACACAGCTGCAGGCGCACTCTCACAGGTGCTGGGATGAGTCGAGACAAGAGGGCAAGGACACGCAAGGATTTTCACACAGATTCACTAACACACTCGCACAGTGATTACACGCAGGTATGTAGTTTAGAATAAAGCCACCTTTACACAGGACACCTCTCCGCTCTGCAAATTCACAACTAATGTCGAGAAAATCTGCAAAAAAAAAATTGATAGAAGTTATGGTAATACAGACCTTTACGGATGAAAACAAAGGGTCTTTGTTCTTTGTTTTCTTGGCTGTTTGCTTTATGAATATCAAAGACTAAAAGGTCAAACGTCATCTGTTTGAAATCAAAGACTTGCAGGGGATGAAATTCTGATTTGTTGAAGATCCAAAACTTCAGATGGATCTAATATTTTTATCATGAGGGCAGCTTTGACAAGCCCAGACTTCAAGGATGAGAAACCTGCAAGAGTGTCTTCCATGGCAGCTTCAAAAGGATTCAATAATCAGAAGATGAGAAGACATTTTTTTTAAATGACTGAAGGCATGTGAGTCGAAATCTTCCCAATATCTGGAGGAGAGCCTAACTGGAACACTTTTTGTTTGTTTTTCCAGTACTGTGTGAGGAGCTGCACACAGGGACAGTACAAGCAATTTCATTTTTATCCATTCAGCACTGTCCTTTGAGGTTGAACAGCTGCTCTTCTCTGCTGAATTCCACAGTCTGCTATTTTTGTTTCCCTGTGTGGAGAAGATCATCATCTGTTGATGCTTTGACAGACGATTCGAGGCTTGAGTTTGTCTCTGAGATGATGGAGTAAATAACTGACTGCACATATTGAATTACATTTCATTACTCAAGTGATAAATGGTGTTATATCTGTTGTATTCACCTGGGGACAGGAAATGGAAAGCGGGTAAATGATTAGTGGAGGTTCCTCCTCCTTACTCTGCTCTGACCCATTTTCCAGGCAGCGGTCTTGAGGCGTCTCTGTCTCTGGCTGTGACGGCGTTACCGAGCTGACACCATGAACCTGCGTAGCAGAAACGTGTCACAGTTGATCTCGAACACTGTCAGAGCCGTTACCGCTCTGGAGTCCAACACCTGGCCTTCACGTGGATTGGAGGAAATCACTCTCCGAATCAATAACGTGACGAGCCCGGGGTGTCACAAAGGCATTGACGCACAGTTGGGGAACTTGTCTTATCGTAACGTTGCAGGAGTATACGCTGAGGAGGGCACCAGGATTTACGGGTCTCAGTGTCCTCCCCAAGAGATGGCGGTGGAGAAGAACTGGGCGGCTTTGCTGATTTTAGTTGTCATCGCTGTCACGGTCATGGGCAACATCCTGGTGATCCTGGCAGTCTCCCTGGAGAAGAAGCTTCAGAACGCTACAAACTATTTCTTGATGTCGCTGGCAGTTGCTGACATGCTCCTGGGCATCTTGGTCATGCCGGTTTCCATGGTGACCATTCTCTACGGTAAGCATTGAGTGACACTGATATTGGGCTTGACATTTGGTGTGTTGCTGACTTGAGTCCAACAGGCACACAGTTTTGTTCCCCAAGTGTATGAATTGCTGCTGCAACCTGCCTGCATGTACAAAGCTTTATTCACTCTGCAGAACAAAGTGCCCCAAATCTAAAATCAATGACAGCGTGAAGAAAAGAACCTGACATGTCTTTGTTGTTTCTGATGTGGGGCGCTCTCATGTCTGGTGTTTAGCTCATGTTTTTGCATTGTCAGAATTCATGCATGACTCGGTGCCGGCGGTCAGGGACAGATGGAGAGCAGCAGTGATGGAGGTGTTCGGTGGTGTTGTTGACAGTGATGTGTTTATTTGGAGTGCTGCTTCAATGCAAAATGAAAGTGGCAATGCCTGTGCAGCTACAGAGATGAATGAAAGGGCCCACAGGACAATGTAGCTGCAATATCAACGCAAAGATAATGGCACTATAATTAACTTTAATGTAAAACATATCTGTGTGTAAAATGAAACAAAAGAAGCAACTACAAAAAATAAAAGCTCTCCAGATAAACCTGTTAAGGAGACCTTGCTTCCATACTGACCATCTACCAACCTGTCGGGAGTGTGTATGCTACCTGTCACCTCCTAGTTCCCTTTACATACACAGACATACACAGACTACCATTTAATCCAACCAGTCCTCCAATGCTGGAATAACACTACCTGTGTGTCAGTTTGTGATCATGTGATCGAACACAACTTTGTTTAGGAATATGCAGCATGTGAGTGCAATGCAAACTAAATAATGACTCGTTTTAACTCATTATGACAAGAGACGTTTTATAGAGGAGACACGTTAAGAATCCCCAGTACAACTCTATAGAGAAAGCTTGTAACGCCAAAGATGGAAAGCCAAAAAAACAGCAGAGCCGGGATACAAATTTCAGCCAATTGTGCGGTTCCACGCATGTGTCCCTTTAGCACGCATACGTGGTAGAAGAATAACCTGTGGGGAAAAACTTTGTTATGAGTCAATTGTCATCAGGTGGTCATTTATGAAGAGGGCAGTAAGTGGACCTCAAGTGAGGATTATTTTCTCAGACTGTTTCTCGCGAGGTCATGAATGAACTTTAACGCTCAGGTCTTTAGTTTAGATTTAGACACAAGACTCCTCTATAAGACATGACCACAAAATTAGGTAATGTGCCATATGGGTGTAGACACTTCCTGCACTCTGCCTTGCAAAAGAAACACAGAGCATGATATATAAAAACTTCATTTAATCAGGTGATCTGATTGAGATCAAACTCTCTTTTGAAAGGGAGAACCGAGAACAGCAGAAGAACAAACATGTCCAGACAAACAACAGACAGATGTCACTGATTAGATTCAAAGTTTAAAATCAGCCATGGGAAGAGACACTCAGGTTTTAAATCCTCTGTAGTTCATTTATAAAGGTGTCAAATAGCAGAAGGCAATCTGTCCAGGTTGATTACTTACCTGAGGGGTAACTAGAGTTAAAACAGGCCTGAGATCTTTTCTGGTAAGCTCTGGTTTTAAATTAGAGTGGTGATATACTGAAGCACAGAGAGGACCACATTTATTTATTTATTTGTTCATTTTTGCAGGGAAAACACACAATTAAAAGTAATTGCACCAGAGTTAGCTAGCAGCTAATTTGCATCTGTTGTCGCTGGGAAGGTGGACGAAAAACAACCACAGAACAGTAAACACACTCCACAAAACAGCACAACCCATCAGTGTGAGATAAATAGAATCAGCATGATAAATAGAAGGCAATCACTGGTGGTGACACTTTTGTGCTGACTTTAGCCAGAGCTTGTGGCTGCTTTTAAAGGAAGGGGTAATTTATTTAAGAAGCTTCTTTTTGTTCCGGACAGCAATCAATAAATCCAATGCTCCATTACTGTTGCAGGGCTGTCTTTAAAGTATGAATTTACAGTCAGAGGAACAACAAGTTTGGAACCTGCAGCTCTGCCCTCTTCTCTCCCAGTCAGTCTCCTGCTGATTCCTGTCAGTCAGCTGAATGTATCCTGTGCTTTGCTTCATTTTCTCTGTTTACCAGTCTGTCACTGTCCCACCACACACACACACCCTCCCTTAAACACACACCTTCCACGTCCTCAGCTGATCCTCGCTCTTCTCCCTGAGCTTCCCTGTGTCGGCGCAAATGTCACGAGCCGCTGCTCGCATTAGGAGCTTTAAGCCCTAAGTAGCAAATTCATTTGCATGAGAACAAGTGCGGTAAATTAGTCAGAGGGAAGAGTGCTTTCAAAAGAACGACCTCCAGTGATTATTACTCGCCTTCCCCGGTCTTTAGAGAAGACAAAAGAACTCATTAGCCACGCCGACGCCAAACATAAACACACACGCTGCAATTGTCTCATGATGTTACACGGCCTCGGTGTTTCACGTTCATTTAGTGACTCAGAGCAAACAGCATTGTTTCAGGGTGAGAGGGCGTAACGATAATATCACGGCAGCGGAGTGATCTTCTAAAATGTGACGGTGGTCATGAGTGAGGTTGATATTGATGGTAATTAATGAGGTCATAGATGAGTCTGTGGTTGATGCCACGGCTGAGTTTGTGAATATTAGATTATTAATGGGGTCATTAATCAGCTCAGGAAAGGCTTGAAATAATGAGCGAGGTTATATGCGATCTTGTATTAGACTATAGGCATATTGACAATGAATTTTTTTTTATTTAACTTTTATTTTCCCAGGTTTGTCCAATTGACAACCTCTTTTGCAAGCGAGACCTGGCCAAGAACAGCAGCAACACAGGGTTTCAATAATACATT